GGGCCCCCGCCACGGCACCCAGCCGGACAGCAGCCCACCACCCCCAGGCACCAGGGTGGGTCTGCGGGTGCTGGCTGGGGCCAGGAGGAATTCCCTCTGGGAGATCCACGGCGGGCACGCCTCGCCAGCTGGGAAAGGGCAGAAACGCAGAGCCCGAGAGCCAGGGCGATGGCTTCGCGCTCAGGGCTGACCTCCCTCCCTTCGGATCGCACGCTCTGTGCAGTCCAGCCCTCTCTCCTGCCTCTGGGATTTCCAAAGGCTCAAATCCCCACACCCAGGGAGCAGGACTGGGCAGCGGCGGGGGCGAGGAGGAGGAGAAGAAACGTTAAATCAATATTTTCCCTCTTAGCCAAGCTGTTTGACTTGGATATCGCTTTCCTTAGAATAACAGAAATTCTCATCAAATAAGAGGCGTTTCCTATTTCTATATATTTTTCCCTTGATAAGGGAAAGTGTGGAAGGTCACAGGTTCAGCCACATGTCCCCAAAGGGGCATAACAATACTGTTGGCTCATGGTAACATCATCCAGGAGACGAGACAGCTCGGTCCCTCTTATCCGATGCAGCTGTCATAAGATGGATTCAAACTGAATTAGTATTGACTGTATAATGCTGGGCTAAATTAAATTATGATCCTATCTACTCTATTAGTGGTTAATGAATGAACGGGCTGAATTTCTAATATAAGCCAGCCTGGTTAGTTTTACAGAGCTCTACCAATATTGATGTAGGGCTTAAAGTAACGCTGGGGGAAGATGCATCTCAAGAAGGCAGGATTCAACTTGGCTGGCCATTCATTAAAATATCAATTGCTCTTAAGCCTCCTCTATGTTCAGCTCATTATTTCCTTCCTATTGAAGTTATCTGGCGCGAGTGGGATTGACAGCCCCACAGAGAGGAGAGGGGCCGGGAAGCCTCCCATCTCCCCCCTAGATGCACACAGCCACCGCTGGCACCAGCATGACTCATCCTAGGAAGCATTTGGACCTTGAACTTCCCAACAAACCACAGCACGATGCAGATGGAGCTGGCTGGGAGCTCCCAGCCCTTAACACAGCAGCACCCATTCCCAAATCTCCTTTGCTTCATGTGTCCTCCAGGCTTTTCTACCCCTGGTGCCGCGCATTCGCCTCCCCACATCCTTACTGTACTCCGTTTCATTTTTGTTGGTCGTGCTGAGCTTCTTGATGATCTCCTGCTTCTTGGACTTCACCATGGCAGAGTTGCTCTCAGTCAGCTTGCTGAAGAAAGCTGGAGGCTGAGTGTTGTTTCCTGGGGACTTGGACCCCATCCTGCAAAGCAAAAGACCATCGGAAACCTCTGCAATGTCCAGTTCACAAAGTCCTACCTAGAGAGACTCCTCAGAATCAGCCCGGGGGCTCCTGAGATACTCAGGATCTCCAACCTCTCTCCCTATCCCTGCCCGAAGTGTACCGAACCGTCTTGGAAAGCCTGTACAAATGGATGGCAAACTGGGAAGTGACATGGCAAGGAATGCAGCCCGGGGGAGAGCGAGCATGGGGACGGGGGGGACATCCCCATGCTGTCCCTCGCCACCATCCCCTTGGTCGGCGGTACCTGTGGTCCATCTGCTCGCCGTCGCGGTACAGGACCGGGTACGCGGCGGCCTTGGCGTGCTCCGGTTCCCCCAC